GTCGGCGTCCGCGCTTGAGAAACTGCCCTCTCTCGATACGTTCATGGACAGCCTCGACGAGTCCGGCAAGTTCCCGCTACATGGGTTGATGATGATGTGCTTCGACATGATGTTCCCGGACGAGGCGGTTGATTGTTTTGTTGACAAAGTGAGCATTGGTCACACTGCCCGAGAGTAGATCCAATAGTATAATATAATCAAGCACGCAGGTATTGCCGGTGGCGGCGCATACATGAAGCGAGTGAAGGGCTCCGGTCAGTTTTGTCTATCATGCTTGTGGTTTGCAAGAGACGATGGAAGCTCGCGTTAGGAGTACCTTACCAAATCAGCTCCCCACCTCCCACGCGGGGCCCCCTTTGATCAGTGGTACATACACCTCCGCAAAAACAAGAAACTGTTGAAAATGGGTACTACGTAGGTATGCAACAAAATAGCTTGTTGTGCTCCCTTTCAGTGTTGTTGACGTTCCAAGACGCCTGCGGACAGAGTATGCAGATGACGAAAAGGTGAATTGGACATGTTGGTCTGCCACGGCTTGGGCCAGTGACAACACCTCCTCGTGCATATTCGGCGCGTCGGCGCGACCTCTAGTGCGAATGCCATGCTGGTCGTTTCGTTCCTTCGTCTTGTTCTCCCTGTCCTCTTCCGCGCGAAATGCGGTCTATTCGCAGACCAACAAGTACGTGAACCTTTGCACCACGCCACCACTCCCGGGAGCGAAGGACACGCGGAAAGCGCATCAGGTGAAGAAGACGAGAACTCTCGGCATGGTAACGCTGCCCGAACCCGCATTCGCGCGGAAGCACATTTACGGTATGCTTGGCATCACGATCACGATGGGGCTCACGAAGAAAACGCGCATGAGGGAGCACTGGAGTAGGTCGCTACACGACGACTATCCTTTAGTGAGGGAGTGCATGTCGCGCGACTTGTTCGAGCTGTTGTACTGCCGTTTCATCCACTGCTCGGACGGCACCGCGCCTCCTCGTTGGACGGGCGAGGACAAGACCCCGAACCCAGAGTTCGATTCGAAGTGGCACATCAGCTTGTTTCTTCCCCTCGCTGCCTCGGCAAGGTTTTGCATAGGCATGACCCATTGCGAGGGTGTACTCATACTCATAGTCGTGCATGCCGTTGTCGTTAGACCATTGACCTCGCATCCCTACAAAGCCGGGACGGAGCACGCCGGGTTCTCACCGGACCAGGCTCTCACATCACCAAGCGCGAAGCGCTGGGAGATATTCGGCGAGTCGCATGAAGGGTGTGCTGCATCCTGCTAAGGGTGTTAGGCATCTTGTGCTTACTTCCTTCCGTACGATGACAGCTGCGTATGACTTAATTTACTTTCTGGTACTTCCACTTCCTGAGACAGTTGTAAGTACTGTGTAACTGCCTCGAGGGCGCTTGGCCATTTTAACACAACGTGGTGCGATCATCCCCCTTGCGCGGAG